TATCTAATAATTTTATATATAATTTCATGGTACGATTACTTTATGATATCAATATAGTCGTGCAGTATGATTCAGACCCAGCCATGTGATTTATTTCGAAGAAAAGATCAGGCGAAATCAATGTGTTTGTATGTATGCATTTGATTTGTTATTGTCGTTTTCACATCATTGTGATGTTGCTGATCAAGATTCCTTCCCCTATTATATTGTCAGCCTCCGCTATGGGAGAGGTATGAGCAGCAGCTGAAAGAGTGGGAGCATTCTGTGGCCAGAGCCAACACTGCCCTCTCTGCTGCTTTCCAGGAGAACTCATCCGCACTTGAGAAACCACCCATGTTTGCATTTTGTCTAAAACCACGAGGTCTAGATGTTCCCAACAAGGGTTCAAAACAACGGTCGCACAGGAGATTCCCTGCTTCTGGATACAACCATACTGTTTCAGGAGATCAATATGGTCTTCATGCTTCTGGTACGTACTATTCTTTCCAGTGTCCAAATTCAATTTTTTCCTTTTAATATTTATTTTTCTTAGCCTTTGTTCTCTGCTACAAGTTAGTTTTTCTCCCTCAGTTAATATTTACATATTATGTCAGGGAGGAGATCGTCTGGGTTTGCTTTTGGAGATCAGAAGGGGTTATTTCCAGTCAATATATACGATTCTGCTGATTCTTCACCATTATTACAGGCTTCAACTCGGGTATTGTCTCCAAGAGATGCTGTTGCACAAGGAAATTTCTTATTGAACACCGATGCATCTGAGTGGAATCGTCACACCAAATTTTATAACAACAAACCAAAGAAGTATGGATCATATTCATCTTATAATAATCAGTACACAATGGCCTCTTACAACAAGAGAACAGGGAGCATAAATGGGGTTCCACAGCGGAACACATGTTTACCCGAGTGGTCAAGTCAGAATCCCTATAATTTTAATCGACAACACAGGGTTGAGGTTGAGCAGTTGGATGGTTCAGATCTTCATGAGTTCCGTTTGCGTGATGCATCGGGTGCAGCACAGCATGCGCGTAATATGGCTAAACTCAAGAGGGAGAAGGCCCAGAGATTGCTTTACAGAGCAGATTTAGCTATCCACAAAGCTGTGGTTGCTTTAATGACAGCAGACGCAATCAAATCTGCTTCAAACTCAAATGGCAGTGGTTAAAATGATTGGTGTGATTATGTAATTATAAATAGCTTATCGAAGTTGCATGACTATTTCAAGTGGCCCCCGTTTTGTGCCGAGAGGATCGACCCCCATCTGTCTATAGCAGCAACTACTGCCTACAGCAGTTAGAGCAGTAAATGTTTGGTTCTGCCAGTCCATATAGAGCTTTCCCGGCACCTCCAGTTGTCGTTACTCCAGCCTTTATTTGCTTTTTCACGAGGAGCCAATTTTCCATTTTTCAGTCAGATGCAACTTCTATGGTACTTTTGCCAGCAAGGACGGGAGGAATTCTTGCTTGCTGTCAAGCGCTGTATAGAAAATTTTATTGCCGTATTTTATTCTGCATGACCATTTAACCTTAGTCTTAGTGTTTCAAAATGGATCCCAAATAATAACATGACATATCTTGGAATCAAACTATGAAATTGAGGTTTTTGGTGATTAGATCGCGTTACTTTGACATCTGTTTCGAGACAGACGTGCCCCAATCTTTTTGTACAAGCTTCTTGTGGTTTTAAGAATCGTCCAAAGATTTAGACGGTGTTATTGTGAAAATAGAAATGATGAGTTTTAATTTTTGAATTGCTACGAGTTTTTGGTCCAAATTTACTTACTTTTATTGGTGGGAGTAGAGACCTTACTCATGAGAATGAATTTTCAAAGCAAAACCATTCTCATGTGAGGCTGCTGGAGCTGCAGGGTGGCCTGGCCTGGGCGTGCCGTTTTCTTACTTACCAAGGCTTGCAAAAGTATTCGGTTACTGTCCATGTTTCGTTAACTTAAAAGTTTTACTTATAAGTTAATAATCTGCGAATAATTTTTTGAGGTAATGCTATTCATGGTTAATAATTGTAGCAGTCATTCTTTTAGGGCATTAGCTTGTTAGTTGAGGCCATAAATTACAAAAAATTAATACCTTAAATAACAAACTATCACGTTGGATGATTACTGCAATCGCTAATTATGAATATCGTTATTCATTTTTAAACTAGTTAAAAAGGGAACAACTTTATGTTTGTTTGGATTGTGTTTTATTTTGAATTTTGAGTTTATTTTCAGTTTTCAATTTTGAGGATTTGTTTTAAAATTGCTTAGGTTTATCATTTTGAAAAATTATTTCTCAAAGAGAAAATTAAAAACACGTTTGATTTGAAAGTTTGAAAAATTGTTTTATAACATCTTATACCATGATATTTGATCATTCAATAAAAATATAACAAAGTTATGTTATGCATTGTCAAGTAATAATACATTTTAAAGTTAGTAAATCCTACAATATTTTCTTCTTGTTAAAAAGTTTTTTGAAAAAATAAATTGAGTTAAAAAAAAAAAAAAAAAAAAAAAAAAAAAAATTAAGAACGTAGACTATGATTTTTTTACATGTGCTCATTTAAATATTTTTCAAATTTTTTATGAAAATAATCATTAAGGGGTCCGTTTAATTGCAAAGATGGAATTGAATTGAAAACGAATTTCAGGGAATTGAATTGCCTATAAATTGTTTTCCTGTGAATTGTAAATTATTGTGTTTGATTTGTATAATTTTTCACGTGGAAAATATTAAAATAAAAATATTTTTTGGTGTTCGTTTGGCTTTATTTTACATAAAATTTGTCAATTAAAGAGATATATTTTACTGGTATTGGGGATGAAATTTGTTTCCACTGTTAAAAATTTTTTTTTTAAGAAAATCATCTATCTTTTGGTTTTGGTTTGACTTTGTTTTACATGGAAATTGTCAAGTAAAGGAAAATATTTTTTTTACAATAATTCTTAAAATTTGTTTCCATTGTCAAAAAAATAAAATAAAAAAATAAAATTGAAAAAGAAAAAATGCTACGGTAGCTCGAAATTGAAAATTCAAGGAAAATTTCGAAAATGGCTTAGTGGCAAGAAATGTGGATAACGAATTCTAGGAAAAAAAGGCTATCAAACAATGGAAAAGTGGAAGATAAAATTGATTTTTCAAGTTCCATGGAAAATAAATGGCTATCAAACATAGCCTAAGTGTTTGAACTATTTTTATGTTTTATAATTTTAATTTTTCTAGAAATTTTTATAATTTTTTTTTTCAAATTTTTTTTTTATTTTCTTTAAATTTTAGTTTTTTGGAATTCTAGAATTTATTTTTTTATTTTTATTTTTTAAATATTTAATTTTTATTTGTTAGAATTTTATATTTTTATTTTTAAAAATTTTTAATTTTTAAAATTTTATTTAAATGCTTATTTTCCATGTTTTGAGTTTTATCAGAATTTAAATAAAAAATGCTCAAAACGAAAAAAATACGTCTTGAGTTTTATTTTATAAATTTAACCTTTTTTTCGAAAATGCATATTCAAATATACAACACCAAATACATTTTCAATATTTTGCAAAATTGAAAACTGAAAACAGCAAATCAAACGCACTATAATCTTTTTCACATTAAAATAAGAGTTGCTTTTATTTACTTTTATATTGAATTTTCCTTCCCAATTCATGAACGCTGCACAGTCCCCATTAATTATTTTCGGGATAGCTGTTGTTTTTCTACATTATTTTCTCTAAAGATAGGGATGACAAAAATATTTATTCAGCTCTGTATACGCGAATCTCATTTCGAATGGGATGGGAACTACCCTCCTACTCAGGTAAAAGAGACGGGGATGGGACGTGGTCGTTGCTCTGAAGTGGGTACGAGGCGAGTACAAAAGACATGATCCTCGTCAAGTTGTTTGCCTGGTTTAAAATTAATTTCAAATTTAAGATTTTTATAAAACAAAAAGAAAAGAATTTATCATCATCTTTAAATTGAACATGAACGGTTATTAAATTTAAAAAAAAAAATTAATAATATGCACTGATTAGAAATATAAAATAAATAAAAATATCAAGCCAAACCAATCTCGCCCCGAACTTGTCTCGTTTGGTTATAAATGGGCATGGAACATTTTAAACATAAACGTTAGAATACTAATATATTTGTCTCAATCGAATCTAAAACAATAAATTAATGCAAGGCTTGCCATAAAAATTTAGCCCCTTGTTTAATGGGGATTAAAATTAGATTTTTAGTAAATTTTGATAGAAGTTTTTGAAAAGTCGTGAGACTCAATTATGTGGTTAATATTGATTGTTTGACTTTAACTTGAATTAAAATCAATATAAAATAAGGACGTAAACTTGCAATTTAATTTTGTAGATAAGAAATATAATCATTAAAAAGTTAATAAAAATTAAGAAAATATGTTGTTCAAATTAATTGTTAATTTTAATTTAGATTTTATTCCTTTTTTATAGCCGAACCAAATAGAAGCTTTGACTATACTCATTTTCTAATTGCAATGAGCCTTCCTTCTTTCCTTCTTCTTCTTTTTTTTTTTTTTAGAATATATGATTAAAAAGTAAGCATTTACGTGCAAAATTATTTTATTAAAATAATATGTA